TTTTATACTTTTCTGAAGTAACTAACCATGTCTTTTAAAGATAAAATTATGAGAAAAGATTGACGGACAATTGTTTTTTTTTCGAGTAATGTGGAGCCATTGTTTTTCACAAAAGAATACATTGTTTATAAAAGAGTAATTTTTGTAGTTAATTATAAAATAATAGATAATATTTATTGCCTTTCCATCATCTGACATGCCTTTTAAACACAAAGTTATAACGGAATTTTATGTTTTTTTGGAGTAACTGATTTGTCCTTTAAAGATAAAATTGTGTCAAAAGATTGACTGACAATTGTCTTTTTTCGAGTAATGTGAAGCCATTGTTTTGCACACAAAAATACATGGTTTACAAAAGAGTAATTTTTGTAGTTAATTATAAAAGAATAGATAAAATTTATTGTATGTTTTTTTATAAGTGGTTTATCCACTTTGATAACACTAATAAGATGGTTACTCAAATAATAATTAAGTTAACATTTGAGTGATTATATTCTTAATAAATACTATCCTTCTTACTACATTACATAATTTTATATCACTTAACAATTAATGTCTAAGATGATTTAAATATTTATTGTCTTTCTATCATCTGACATGCTTATAATGGAATTTTAAGTATTTATTGAATAATTGACTTGTCTTTTAAAGATAAAATCATGACAAAAGATTGACGGACAATTGTCTTTTTTCGAGTAATGTGAGCCATTGTTTTGTACAAAAGAATATATTGTTTTGAAAGAGTAATTTTTGTAGTTAATTATAAAAGATAAGGTAAATTTTATTTTATATTTTTTATAAATAGGAGTTTATCCAATTTGGTAACACTAATAAGATCATTACTCAAATAACAATTAAGTTATTATATTCTTAATAAATACTATCATTCTTACTACATTAGATAATTTTATATTACTTAACAATAAATGTATAAGATCATTTGAATATTTATTGTCTTTCTATCATCTGACATGTCTTTTAAACCTAAAGTTATAACAAAATTTTATACTTTTCTGAAGTAACTAACCATGTCTTTTAAAGATAAAATTATGAGAAAAGATTGACGGACAATTGTTTTTTTTTCGAGTAATGTGGAGCCATTGTTTTTCACAAAAGAATACATTGTTTATAAAAGAGTAATTTTTGTAGTTAATTATAAAATAATAGATAATATTTATTGCCTTTCCATCATCTGACATGCCTTTTAAACACAAAGTTATAACGGAATTTTATGTTTTTTTGGAGTAACTGATTTGTCCTTTAAAGATAAAATTGTGTCAAAAGATTGACTGACAATTGTCTTTTTTCGAGTAATGTGAAGCCATTGTTTTGCACACAAAAATACATGGTTTACAAAAGAGTAATTTTTGTAGTTAATTATAAAAGAATAGATAAAATTTATTGTATGTTTTTTTATAAGTGGTTTATCCACTTTGATAACACTAATAAGATGGTTACTCAAATAATAATTAAGTTAACATTTGAGTGATTATATTCTTAATAAATACTATCCTTCTTACTACATTACATAATTTTATATCACTTAACAATTAATGTCTAAGATGATTTAAATATTTATTGTCTTTCTATCATCTGACATGCTTATAATGGAATTTTAAGTATTTATTGAATAATTGACTTGTCTTTTAAAGATAAAATCATGACAAAAGATTGACGGACAATTGTCTTTTTTCGAGTAATGTGAGCCATTGTTTTGTACAAAAGAATATATTGTTTTGAAAGAGTAATTTTTGTAGTTAATTATAAAAGATAAGGTAAATTTTATTTTATATTTTTTATAAATAGGAGTTTATCCAATTTGGTAACACTAATAAGATCATTACTCAAATAACAATTAAGTTATTATATTCTTAATAAATACTATCATTCTTACTACATTAGATAATTTTATATTACTTAACAATAAATGTATAAGATCATTTGAATATTTATTGTCTTTCTATCATCTGACATGTCTTTTAAACCTAAAGTTATAACAAAATTTTATACTTTTCTGAAGTAACTAACCATGTCTTTTAAAGATAAAATTATGAGAAAAGATTGACGGACAATTGTTTTTTTTTCGAGTAATGTGGAGCCATTGTTTTTCACAAAAGAATACATTGTTTATAAAAGAGTAATTTTTGTAGTTAATTATAAAATAATAGATAATATTTATTGCCTTTCCATCATCTGACATGCCTTTTAAACACAAAGTTATAACGGAATTTTATGTTTTTTTGGAGTAACTGATTTGTCCTTTAAAGATAAAATTGTGTCAAAAGATTGACTGACAATTGTCTTTTTTCGAGTAATGTGAAGCCATTGTTTTGCACACAAAAATACATGGTTTACAAAAGAGTAATTTTTGTAGTTAATTATAAAAGAATAGATAAAATTTATTGTATGTTTTTTTATAAGTGGTTTATCCACTTTGATAACACTAATAAGATGGTTACTCAAATAATAATTAAGTTAACATTTGAGTGATTATATTCTTAATAAATACTATCCTTCTTACTACATTACATAATTTTATATTACTTAACAATAAATGTATAAGATGATTTGAATATTTATTGTCTTTCTATCATCTGATATGCCTTTTAAACTTAAAGTTAGAACGAAATTTTATGTCTTTTTGGAGTAACTGACCTGTCTTTCAAAGATAAAATTATGAGAAAAGATTGATTGACAATTGTCTTTTTTTCGAGTAATGTGGAGCCATTGTTTTTCACAAAAGAATACATTGTTTATAAAAGAGTAATTTTTGTAGTTAATTATAAAATAATAGATACAATTTATTGCCTTTCCATCATCTGACATGCCTTTTAAACACAAAGTTATAACGGAATTTTATGTTTTTTTGGAGTAACTGATTTGTCTTTTAAAGATAAAATTATGTCAAAAGATTGACTGACAATTGTCTTTTTTTCGAGTACGGCCATTGTTTTTCACAAAAGAATACATTGTTTATAAAAGAGTAATTTTTGTAGTTAATTATAAAATAATAGATACAATTTATTGTCTTTCCATCATCTGACATGCCTTTTAAACACAAAGTTATAACGGAATTGTCTTTTAAAGATAAAATTATGTCAAAAGATTGGGTGACAATTGTCTTTTTTGAGTAATGTGAAGTCATTGTTTTTCACAAAAGAGTAGATTGAAAAAAGTAATTTTTTGTATTTAATTATAAAAGAATGGATAAAATTTATTGTATGTTTTTTTATAAGTAGGAGATTATCTAATTTGATAACACTAATAAGATGGTTACTCTAAAAACAATTAAGTTAACATTTGAGTGATTATATTCTTGATAAATACTGCCATTCTTACTACATCAAATAATTTTATATTGTTTAACAATAAATATGTCTAAGATAATTTAAATATTTATTGTCTTTCTATCATTTTCTGACATGTGGAAAACGAAATTTTATATATTTTTGGAATAATTGACTTGTCTTTTAAAGATAAAATTGAGACGAAATGTTATATTGTTTGGAGTGATTGATTGACAATTATTTTTTTAAAGTAATGTGAAACTATTGTTTTGCACAAAAGAATAGATGGTTTATAAAAGTGTATTTTTTTGTAGTTAGTTATAAAATAATAGATAAATTTTATTTTATATTTTTTTCTTAGTAGGAGTTTATCGAATTTGATAACAGATGGTTACCCTAAAAACAATTAAGTTAACATTTTGAATGATTATACTCTTAATAAATCTATCATTATTGCTACATCAAATAAATTTATATTGCTTAAAAATAAATTTCTAAGATAATTTAAATATTTATTATCTTTCCATCATCTAACATGTCTTTTAAACATAAAATTATTACGAAATTTTATATTCTTTAAAGTAATTGATCTATCTTTCAAAAGATAAAATTATACAGAATTTTATATTTTCAAAGTGATTGACTGACAAATATTTTTTCTGAATAATGTGGAGTCATTTTTTGCATAAAAGAATAGATTGTCTATAAAGGAATACTTTTTATAATTTATAAAAAAGGGCATAATATAAAAAAAATTTATAGTGTCAAGATATAAAAAATACGTGTGTCAAAAATATATATTTTTTGTTTATATTTAATTTGAAAGGTACAAAAAACTATTTCTAAAGTTTGAATTAAAGCTTTTAATGTATTAAAATTTATGTGTTTAGTTTAACGATGAATTAAAATAATTATTTATGGAAAAAAAGCTTCTGAATGTAAACCTGTACCACATCAATGATAAAATCAGTTATAATTGATTAATGAATTTGACGTTTTTATGTATTATCTCGGATGATTTTATATTTTTCTATATGTAATTTAATATTCAGCACATTTTATATTTGACTTTAATTTTTTTACCTGAATTTAATTAACCTAAAGTGTATTTGAAGTATATTAAAATTACTCTTAGGTATACTTTGATGGGTGCGAGAAAGTCCATTTAACCCACACAATCGTGCATGTATGACGATTTACTGACATACATTTTTTTTTTATTACTTTCATATGATGTAAGCTATACAAACATTCTTTTTAAACTTAATTATGTATTAACAAAATTAAGTTTCGAGTTACGTATAACTTTTCATAAATATATTATATTTATTATACTATTTCATAACTATGTCATTATACTATTTAACATGGATACAATCTACGGGTCTAAGTAAAGAAATTTAATATTTAACTAATTTGTTACAAAATTTATTTCCAAATCATATTTTTTTATGACTAAAATCAATGTTTCGAAAAGAATGAAACTAAATTATATTTTATTTTGAAATAGGAACAAAAATCAGAAACGATCAATAATTAAATATTAAAAACATATTTAACCCTAAAAAAAATCTAAATGAAGAGATTTATTGCAGAAAAAAGAAAAAAAAAAGTTAATATTAATGGGTGGCAGTATATTAATAATGTTGGAGTGAAATAAAATGGTGATTGGAGAGGGCAAAGGCGTAAAAGGGAAGCAGAGAGAAGGGTTATATATAACCTAGAGACAAGAGCCAAAAAGCAGAGTGAGAAAGCTTTTATCGGCCTGGCTCTACACTCGGCGTTTGTCTCGTGGTCACTTCGAAAGTGACCGCCGGCGCTTGTTCTATCTTTTTTTACTGCGGTCTTTCAGTCTCTCACTTACACTTAAATTCATTTTTTCTTTTCGATTCTGGTCCTCGGAGAGCATTGCCAAGCAGCTTGCATAAATACTCACTGCGCTGCGGTTCTACTCGATCATTCATCCTTCCACTCGGGTGAGTAATAACCTCTTTTTCTCTTTCTCGCGTAACGCTATTCAATGCTCTCGTTTTTTTTTTCTTTATTCTGAAACTCCGTTAATCGGTTCATTGGCGAGTACGGTGGTGGATGTACTTCGTGGCAAAATGTGCATGATCTTTTCTGCTGCATGGTAAATAATCATGCTTTGAAAACTCTAGGCCTCTTGATCGATTCATTCAGGTTATTCCAATGATGATTTTATGTTTCTAAGCTCATGCGTTTCGTGGGTCTGGTTTGCATTTTTGGAGTAGGGAGGTTTTCGTTTCATCACAATTTAGATTTTTATCCTTTGAAATGCACGATATTTTGTTTCCTTCTCATCATGTTTCATCCCCGATTTCACATTTTGCCGTAATTGCACTTGTGGATTCAGAGAAGCAGATAAAAGTAAGCGTCTTGCATACGGTGTTCATCAATATCTCACATCCGCGTGCATGCCATTAATCTTTTTTCATCTCCTTATTCTTTCTGTGCTTATCTAACCAGGCCTGGTCCATTTTCACGGTCTAACGAGAACAGATAATTATTTTTGTAGTGACAGATATTTATTTCGCATTTTTTTATTTATTTAGAGCTGTATCTTTTAGCCACCCTGTTTCTGATGTGTCAAAACAGGTCTGTTGTGTGCTTGTGTTTGGTTTTGAATGCTTGAGTTTCGGGGAATTGGTTTTAGCTACCCGTGTAAAAATGTGATTTGCTTGGTGACTTGGCGTGCATTCACCATTTGAGGGTTTGGCATAAGAAATATATTGGAGCTTGTTGTATGTTGTCTACGTTCTCAGTAGGTTTCTACAATGTGGAGATCTAAAGGAATAAGCTTACAGAATTTTTTGGGATTTTATTTTGGCTAGGAGACGCTTGTTTTTGAGATAGGGTTCTAGTTAAGAACTTGGTGTGGCTGTGTCCACATCTGTAAACATTATAATGTGAACAGGAGGGAGCAACTGGAGAATGCAATTGGTTTGGTTTGGGAAGTAGAATAATCATAAACAGCAGGTGAAAGATGATCTAGCTGCTCATGGAGTTGAAAATATATATGATTTATAAATTAGACTATTATGAGGCTAGTCAACTTCTAAGATCCCAGATAACCAGGGGACCTATATACCTTATAATTATTAGGTGGTTCTCTGCTCCTATGGCCTGGCGTTAGTTTTGAAGGATATCGGTTCTAACTTGTCAGTAAACTTTCATGATTTTGATAAGAGGTACAATTAGATAATTTGTTTTTAAGAGGTACATTGGAAACGGGCAGTTCACTGTTTTGATGGCCTTCCACTGGTCTTAGAGGTTATTGATTATACTTTGTCAGAAAAAATGAACGTGCTGTTATCTAGGCATCATTTTTAAATTGCTGCGCTATGGTGCAATTGTTTGCCAACTGCCAGAGGCAATTTGTGATGGGAGGCCCACCATTCATAGGCCGCAAAGTCGCGTTTATATGGTGAAATTTTGGTGTTCCACAATCTGCCATTGACAACGCTATTCCTGCCATCAATATTGGGTTTTTCCTTGTCTTTAAGTGCTCACAAACATCTTAATATGGTGGAATTTTTTCCATGTTAAGGAATTCCTCTTGAGAAAATTTGGTGGATTTTTGCCATCTGCCATCAATATTACTATTTTTGACCAACAATTTGGATTTTTTTCTTGTCTTTAATTGCTTAGGAACATTTTAACACACTACAGATAATTCCTCTCTTTAAGGAAATACTGGTGTGCCTGATGGTGCTGATTTCTAAACATCTTTGTTAAATGGCGTTGCCATGATAGAATGGCTTGCCAATTGCCATGCGCAATTTGTGAATGGATGCCTGCTATGGCAGCACCATAGGACACAGTGGCGTGTTTATATGGCAAAATTTTGGCCTTCTGCCATCTGCAATTGATAACACTTTCTTAATGTGAATATTTTATAGAACATTTGTGTCTATAAATATTTTTCTTCATAAATTTTGATGACATTTTCCTGTACCGTCTCTTTTTTAGAATTTTTTGTTGTATCAGTGTACTCAACCATATTTTCATGCTTTGCAATGAACAGGTTACTTCAAATATTTTTCTGAGTAAAAGGTTATCAAGTTCCATGGATGATGAGTTTTTCTACGGAAACAAAGCGCCATCTGGTGTCATAAAAGCGATAAAGTTTGATGTTTTAACTGAAAATGATATAGTAAGTATACTCTTCATCTTATATCCATTTGAGTTTTTAATTAGTGTCTATTTGTTAGTTCATTGCGACTTTCTTTGTGGGATCGAATGGTATGCACTTACTGTGTAACACATTAACACTAAGTAGAGGGTGGGCCATTAATTTTGTTTACCTTTTAAAAGATGAATCTATTGGGTGGAACTGCCTTGTAATTTGTTAAACACATAATATATGTTAATTAGTTTTACATCTACAGGAGAAAGTCTCTGTTTTAGAGATAAATGCAGCCGGGCAGGTCACTGGGTCTATGTTGGGATTTCCAAATATATCTGACGAGTGTGCCACTTGTGGTTCTAAAGACAAAAAGTTTTGTGAAGGTGTAAATGGACACAGTATATGAAAATTGTGTTTACAGATTTTGTTATGATAATTGTAATTTATTAGTGAAGGCGCTGAAAACATGAATATTTAATTTCAGGTCATTTTGGAGTAATCAAATTTCCATTTCCCGTACTCCATCCATATTTTATGTCAGAGATTGCACAAATCTTGAATAAGATTTGCCCGGTTTGCAAAACTATTCGTCATAAATCTAAGGTCAGATACATACTGATATACTAAGTCTGATTTTTGTTATAATAAAGAGTTGGCTTTAGTTCACTGCTATTGTATAAGATAAGTTAAACCAAATATTCATTTAGATCATATGGCAAATTTTAGGATTTTAAAATCTTTTCCAAATATTTTCCGCCTTTCAAATTGCATAGGATTCTAAGGTACAATCGGACATCATTTGAGAAGTTTCACGACCTGTAGTACAATGTTACATACCTATATCGATTTTGTCATTACTTGTTATCCTACTTTCTCTTGATAGTTTCATTTTCTTCTTATAGGGTGCTCAATTAATATTTGGAATCAAGCAGTCTATCAATTGCAAATATTGTTCTGTAAGTTAGTGTCTTCACCTCTGTTAATTTGCTTCAAAGGACATTTCTCTTTTATTAATATGTTGTTTGCTTGGCATGACAACTTGTTCACCAAACAGGGAAATGGGATGGGCCGTTATCCATCCATGAAGTTTAAATTTTCGTCCAATGATCTCTACAAAAGAACAGCAATTATTGTTGAAGTAAATGATAAGGTTTCAAAGAAAACTTTGGGACGAAGCCTGCCAGCTGATTATTGGGATTTTATTCCTTATGATGCTCAACAAGAAGAAAATTATGTAAATAGAAGGGTTTTATCACCAGGACAGGTAGTGCTACCCACATTTACATGATGTATGCAGTTTTGTATATTTTTCCTTGGATACGATAATTTTGCATTATATCAAAATTAAAGACATCTCGATAGATAGATATAGATATATGCCAGCTTGAGAGTGAGTGTTCTGAATGTAAATTAGCCCTAACATTTGTTAGGGATTGATTGCCTTAGAATGGGAAATTGACATTATTGTAATGATTATTACATTGATTATAAAAACATCATCTCGAGGTTGCATTGACACAATTCCTAGAAACTGTTAGTGTAACAATAACTTTAGTGTGACCTTCCATTTCCTGAAATACCTTTTATTTTTTAAGTGAATGAAAAGCAAAGCCTGAAAACTATGGTTTTCCCATTGCTTGCAATTAAAAATCAAACTTACCTTTTCTGAATTTTTATGGTACTTTTCAGTCATTCCTATTATATGGTCATGCTTTTTAGCTGGAGCTATAACAGGGTAAATTTCATATATTTTTATTTTCAGGTTATTTCTTTGTTGAATGATGTTGATCCGAACTTCATTGAAAAATATATTCCAAGAAAAAATTTGGTCAGTCTTAATTGCTTCCAAGTGACTCCAAATTGTCATCGAGTAACAGAAGTCCCTTATGCAATTTCTAATGGAAACCAATTGAGTTTTGTAAGTATATATGTTTTCTCATTTGTTTTAGTTTTATTTATAAGCTGTCACAACTAGTCTTATCCTTTTTTTTAATATAACAAATATGGTTAATTTTTTTAGGATGACAGGACTCGATTTTGTAAGAAATTGGTTGATTTCAGGGGCACAGCTAATGAGTTAAGTTCTCGTGTTTTGGATTGCATGAGGATTTCGAAGGCAAGATGCTGAACCGTTATTTTGTTTGTTATTTTTATGTCACTTTGTCATGATTCTTGCCTTTTCTTATGTTTTTGTTTTTGGAAATGCAGCTAAATCCTGATAAAACACCTAATACTATTTTTGCTGATATCCAAAAGAAAAAAGTTGCAGAAAATGCTTGCAATTCTTCTGGTTTAAGATGGATAAAAGATGTGGTTCTTGGAAAACGCAATGATAGTACGTTCCGTGCCGTTGTTGTTGGTGATCCATACCTTGAGCTCAGTGAAATTGGTATACCTTGCCATATTGCTGAAAGTTTGCACGTTTCTGAGTATGTTAACAGGCAGAATTTGGAAAAGCTGCTTTATTGTTGTGAGCTACGCCTGTTAGAGAAGGGAGCGATAAAGGTTTGCAGAAAGGGTAGTTCTATTAATCTGTTTAAAAAGGAAGATCTACGGATAGGAGACCAATTTTATAGGCCTCTTTGTGATGGGGATAAGGTTCTGATAAATAGGCCCCCTTCCATACATCAACATTCTATGATTGCTCTCACTGTTAGGGTCCTTCCAATATCTTCTGTAGTGTGCATTAACCCACTTTGTTGTTCCCCATTTCGTGGGGATTTTGATGGTGATTGCCTTCACGGGTATATTCCACAATCAGTTAGTGCAAGAGTTGAGCTTAATGAGCTTGTTGCTTTAGATAGGCAATTGTTTAATGGGCAAAGTGGTAGAAATCTGCTTTCACTTTCGGAGGATAGTTTGACTGCTGCATATTTGCTAATGGAAGATGGGGTCCTTTTAGATGTTTACCAGATGCAGCAGCTTCAAATGCTTTGTAACAAAGGTTTACCTCCTCCTGGAATTGTAAAAGCTCCTTCAAGCAAAAGCTCATTTTGGAGTGGCAAGCAATTGTTTAGCATGCTCTTGCCTTCTGATTTTGGATATTCCTTTTCTTCGGATGGTGTTGTTGTTAGTGATGGGGAGCTTTTATCTTCTTTTGAGGCTTCTGGATGGTTACGTGATTCTGACTGCAATGTTTTCCAGAGTCTTGTGGAACATTTTCAAGGGAAATCTCTAAACTTTTTGTTTGCTGCGCAGAATGTTTTATGTGAATGGTTATCTATGATTGGTTTTAGTGTTTCACTCTCAGATTTGTACCTCTCTTCTGATTCCTATGCACGAAAAAACATGATTGAGGAAATATTTTATGGTTTACAAGATGCAGAGAAGGCATGTGATTTCAAGCAGTTATTGTTGGATTGCTATTGTGATTTTTTGTCTGGAAATCATGAAGAGAGTGAAAATTCTATGATTGTTGATGCAGACAATCTGAATAATGAAAGACAAATATCTGCTGCTCTCAGTCAAGCATCAGTTGATGCTTTTAGGCATGTTTTTCGCAATATTCAAAGTTTAGCTGACAAATATGCATGTACAGACAATACTTTTCTTGCCATGAATAAGGCTGGAAGCAAGAGTAGTTTAGTGAGATTAGCGCAACATTCCATGTGCCTTGGCATGCAAAATTCTCTGGTCCGCTTATCTTACAGACTACCCCGTCATCTTTCATGTTCTGCTTGGAATAGTGAAAAGGGGCTTGATTCAATCCAGAAATACTCTGGTACCCTTAAATCTGTTCAGTCTTACATTCCGTGTGCTGTGGTCAAAAGCTCATTTCTGACTGGGTTGAATCCACTTGAATGTTTTGTTCATTCTGTGGCAACCCGTGCTAGTGGTTTCAGTGAAAATGCAGACGTTCCTGGAACATTAACACGGAGATTGATGTTCTTCATGCGTGATCTGTTTGCTGCATATGATGGAACAGTGAGAAATTTATATGGTAATCAACTTATTCAGTTTTCTTATGATATTGAAGAGAACTCTTCATGTGATCAAAGTTTAAAAGAGTATGCTATTGGTGGTGAACCAGTTGGGGCACTTTCTGCTTCTGCAGTTTCAGAAGCTGGATACAGTGCTTTGGATCAACCAGTTAGTCTACTTGAAACGTCACCTTTGCTGAATTTGAAAAATGTTCTTGAATGCGGTTCAAGGAAAAAAAAGGGCGACCAGTCTGTGACTTTATTTTTGTCTGAAAAAGTTGGTAAACAGAGACATGGGTTTGAATATGCAGCTTTAGAAGTTAAGAATTATTTGGAAAGATTGTTCTTCTCAAAAATTGTTTCTACTGTGATGATAATATTCACCCCACATGATAGCCGCAGCCTAGAGAAAGGCTGTCCTTGGGTCTGCCACTTTCATTTAGACAAGGAAATTCTAACGAGAAGAAATTTGAAAGTGGATTCTATCATTGACTCTCTTTACCAGAGATATTACTCCCAGAGAAAAGAACTAAAAGTCTCTTTTACCAACTTGAAAATATCAAGCAAGTAAGTTTCTATTGTTATGGTGCTTCTAACAATATTTGTTGTTACTTGAGGAAGTATTTACTGTCCTTGAGTGCTATACTGGGAGCTAGTGAAGGTTACAACAGTATATGTAACTACCTCTATTCAGAGTTCTATGCTTTTCTGTGAGCGTGAAGGATATTTAATTATTAGTGCAGATAGGCAATAAATGACATCTAGTCATGCTGTTCTCGTATATTCAGAATGTGTTTGTTGCTTCAATTATTGCTAAGTGGATCGTTGAATATGCTTTTTACTAGTTTATTTACTGTTGACAACAGCTCTGAGCGACCCAGCTAATTTTGGTGAAACCCCTGATACTTGCAATAATTTTGCCACAACCCTTAGATAGAACTGAAATCCTCTGGCTTTGATAAAATTAGAATTTGTTACTGAACTACAAAGAACTTTTCATATAGCAGCAGATTTCAAAGAAATTGATATCGAGAGACTGAAATTTATAACTGAAGTAGATAAGTGACATTGTTTAAAACCACGATTCAGTACAAAGCGAGTATGTACCCTAAATTTCAATTACAACAAGACTAATGATACATTTTTTTTCATTACTGTCAATTTTGATCAAGAACAAAAAATGTAATGATCATTGAATACATCTATTGACATGAATAGGGCAAGGCTATTTGAAATTATTGGACCTTTGCCTATTCATAACAACTATTCCGTTTGGGAAAAACCAGTTGTGACTATAATTTTTTTGAGGCTTATAGTACTGAAAAATCTGTTTTCCACATTCCAAAAGAATTATGTTTTCTTTGTCTTTATGGGTGGGTTTTTTGTGTAAAATTATAGTGATTATAATAATAATACACTACTTGCGTGATCTCTTACTTCTCTTCATTACTTATCATTCTTACTGCTTTACTGATCCCTTCTTTCTTGGACAATGAAATAGCAGAAAGTGTTCTGGTTATTCAGCGGTTAAGGAAGGTGATGACACTTTTGTAGATAATAAAGAAGACAGTGATGATTGCATTACGGTCACAGTTGTTGAAAATTCTGAGAATCCTATCCAACTGGTTTCCGTTCGGGACTTGATGATACCTTTTTTTCTAGGAACAACAGTAAAAGGTTTGCAGTACTCTAATATGAATATCCTGTCGTTTCAAGTTGTGATTATATATGTGAACCTTTTAAAAGTTATCTTCACGAGCAAATACATGGGTGGAACATTTCGTGTTTTGTTGAAGTTCAAATTATGTTTGTGCTACATATATGTCAGTTGAAGTTTCTTTGTTGTCATGTAAAACTTTTATGATTCCATGATGGCTAGAAAAAAGTACACTGTATTTGGCTATTATAAATGTGAAGTTAAAAGTGTTATTGCTAATCCTTTTCTTTTAGGAGGACTCACGTTAAAAGCACACAATTGTAAATAAAATAGGTGAATTATTTCTAATTATAAATTTGGTTTCCTATGACCAACTTTACTGCATCTGACTCATGCACAAATATGTTTTACTCGGCGTTGTAAAATATTCTTATATTTTTTCATTATTATGAATTCGTGAAATGTTCTTTAGGATTTATGGACATCAAGAAGGTTGATATTCTCTGGAATAATCAATCAAAAGTAACAAATTCTTACAGTGGTTCTTCTGGTGAACTGTACTTGAGGGTTACTGTGGCCAGCGACGGTAACACTGGAAGGTTCTGGGGTGTACTTGTAAATCATTGTCACAAGATAATGCAGATAATTGACTGGCCACGGAGTCATCCAGACAGCATAAGTTATATCTCATCAGCCTTTGGAATTGATGTAGCCTGGCAATACTATTACAAGGTGGGTATGATTACAAACATTCCTTTCTTTGTTTTAGGTTCGAAATGAAATACATGGTAGTATATGTGCATATTTGATTTACTTGCATATGATTTACTTGTAGAGTTTGGCATCTGCAATATGTGACACTGGAAAGTCCATCCTTCCTAAGCATCTGCGTCTTCTTGCCAATAGTCTGTCAGCTAGTGGAGAATTTGTAGGATTAAATGCTAAAGGCATGGCACTACAACGAGAACATGCGTCCGTTTCATCACCATTTGTGCAAGCATGCTTTTCTGTCAGTTTTCACATTTGTTATTCAGTCAATGCTCTATGATTTCTGATGTCAAGATTTTGATAACCCATACATAATTCATGTCGAAATTATCAAATGTTATTGTAGAATCCAGGTAGGAGCTTTATAAAAGCTGCCAAGTCTGGAATCACGGATAATCTTCGGGGCAGCCTGGATGCATTGGCTTGGGGAAACTGTCCCTCTTTGGGGACAAGTGGACTGTTTGATATCATATATTCAGAGAAGGTATTGGTTTTCTTATCTATTAATTAATTTTCTTGCTTTCATTCAGATTTAATGTATCATGTATCGTTAAGATTGTTCTACAAGCATTTTTGTCTTTTTAATGTATAAGATAAAGGCTTTATTTAACAGGGGCCGCACGAACGCAGGCCCTTCTTCACAAATTATGAAGTCTCTACCACTTGTGGAGACTTCAGAGCAAGACCCCCACCAAAGGTGCAAGGGAAGTCATAAATTGTTATTTTCTAATAATAAATATTGTTTACTACATAAATTATATTGTAGTTAATGTTTGTAATAAACAACTATTTTGAATATATAAACTATATTTTGGATTTATGATTTAGAATTTATATTGATACAACTTATAACAATGTCGAAAAGTGGTTGAAAAAAATTTAAACTTACAAATAAAGACAAGAAACGTTTGAGATAGTCAAGAAAAAAACTTTTGAACTAGTTGTTAGATTAAATGAAATTTGAAAAAAAAAATTAAGTATATAGAAAGTAATAAGGAGTTGAAAATAAAATTGAATGCTTAATATATATATATATACATATATATATTACTATATATATATATATGTACATATATATATAATGTAATATCATATCATATAATGTACATATATTATATATATGTTATTATATTGTAATATATACTATATATGTATATATATGTTATGTATTCTATATAGTGTGTATAATACACACATATATATATACATATACATATATATATACATATATATATATATATGTACATATATATATGTATACATATATATATATATATGTACATATATATATGTATACATATATATATATATGTACATATATATATATATGTATATATACATATATATATATATGTATATATATATATATAATATAAGGTTAGTGAGAGTGATAACAACTCCAAAAAGTGTTTTGAGAAATCAATTGTAAAATCTGCTCTTCAAGATAAAAGTTAATATTTATAATATAGAGTTGATTTTTAAAGAACCCAGGAATTACCTTGTGCTTTTATTGCCCTAAAAGTGATATGGCTGGTATGTGCAAGTTAGAAGAATTTCACTTCAGTACCAAAATGTTTGACCAACTTCTCTCAAGAATGCAGCATCCTATTTGTTGACTTTGTGACTTTTTTACTGTGAACCTTTCAAGTATAAATGCGAATTATGCATTCTATAAACACTTTTAGCTGCTTTCTATATCATGAGATTGTTAAAACGTTTGACCTTTGTTTCTCCAATTGCTATTTTCAATTCAAACATGCTCGTTTTTTATTAGTGAATTTACTATCTTAACCATTTCTCTGACAAAAAAATAAGGTTTATACCGAGTAAAGATAGACGTGGAAGAGTTTCTAGGTTGTTATGGAGAAAAGTTATCTTGTACCATGCAAGTTGTACGTGTAATACTGTCATTTACAGTGGTCCAACATTTTATTTTATCAGGGATATGAGGTAGCCAAGTCTGTAGATGTGTATAAGCTGCTAGAAGCCAGTTTTGACAAGCCGAACAATAAGATTGGTATATATTCTCACAACAATTCATCTGACAAATGTGGTTCTGAGTTTAGGCATAAGAATGGCTATGCCTTTAAAGAGGGAAAACAGTGGAAAAACATTGTAAGAAATTTTGTGACGGTAAATGATATTCAGAAGCTGACTATTGCTTCAAGGTGCATATTGAACAAGTAAGAACTGTAGCCTTTTCCAAACTCTGGTGTGTTTTTAATGATACATAGTTCTGTATATTCTATGTATGACATTCACATTATCATATATAGCACGGACTAATATTATGGGTCACAACTGGTTGTACGTATTGTTATGCCATGGTTGTTTCTTTCAGTTGGCACTTCCACTAAGCTATTTTCTACTTCGTACTAATATTTATGCTTCTGGAAGATTGTGTATCATTATGCTTTGGTATTTTCTTGCAATTGGTGGTTAAATTTTATTCTGTCCCTTTTTATTATTTTAGAATAGTTTTTCCTTGAGTAATAAGTTCATTAGACTTATGAGAGACACGACCACTATCCTTTAGACTCAACCTAGCTTAAATGAGTAGAAGATTGGTTTTTAACTACATTTTCTATGTAGCTATTTCACTTTCTTTGGTATAAAGTATTATAAGACCAACTACAAATATCTTTGACTTATTGCTACCTATATATCTCAGTTATTTTCAGAAGGAAATAACTGATATAACAAATTGGTTCTGATAGTCTCTACTTTATATATACTGTTGCCAAACTCAAGGTATATCTTCTTGACACAGTTTTGTATGGTTGTCTAAGATCGCTTGGTGTGATTGTGGATATATGATATGCAGAATAATTGTACATTTGGGCTGTTGTCTATGTAGGTATGCGATTGATGAACTGATAAGTGAGTTTGACAGATCTACAATGCTAAGAGTTCTGAATTTCCATCCTCGTAGAAGTGAGAAATTGGGTATTGGACCACAGGACATTAAGGTATGTGTTCTCTTGTGAAGAAGGTTTTGGATTTGAGGTAAAAAATAATTTTGTTTCTTCTTGGTTTTGTCTTAATGCGCTTAAAGGCAATGCACATTAAATTGAAGCGCACTTCAAATTTGAGATTTGGAAATTTTTTTCTGTATTTTCTCTTTATTCCTCTTAAAAGTTCCCTTGAAAAGTTTTTTTTTTTATTATTATTATTATTATTTGCGTTACTTCATTATGAACATTTATGAATTCTTGAACTTGATGAAGTCAGTGGAGCCATGAAAACAAGCACCACCCCATCCCGTATTCTTTTCTTACAATCTCCCATATTTCCTCTTTAATTATGATTTTTCTGGCAATTAGCAATGATGCAATGGGTAGAACCCATGTCTGTATGATTTTAGACTAGGTTAACACTGCCTAAATACCCCTAAAGAAAAATAAAATGAAAAGAAGTCATTGGACTGAGATTGTTTTAGGTGTTAATGAACTTGCGTGATCAGAATAGAACCTTTCTCTGCAATTGTGGTGTAAATGAAAAGGCTAGAGCTAATTATTTCACATTCCTATATGGTAAATTTCATTCCATATATAGTATCACATATTAGTTAAGAGCGTGCTATAGTGACCCTTTTCTGCCACGGGATTCAATGTGTAGCAGTTACACTATCATCATGGCTACAATAGTGTGGTTAAAAGAATGGATATTTGCATGTTATTGGAAGCTATCATGATATAGGCTTTAAACATTCATTTTTACCCTTGAAAGAATTTTGTTTAGGATTTTTAAAATTCTGATTTCTCCTCAATTTTTCTAATGTGATTTTTGCTTGAGAAACATAATACAGGATTTGAAACTCTTCCTTCAACATTTACACAAAAAAGTTGTCTTGTTTCCTTTACTCTTCAAAGTTTACTGGACTATTTTTTCCTGCATATTCAGTTTTTTTTCCCCTTTAAATTTGCCAGTTCATATTTTGTTAATTTTTTTATCTAACGTGTTTTGTTTGTTTTTATTAATTTTCACCATCGTCTTTCATACTTGGACTTCATTACTTTGTTCTTGTTGCCCATAGATTTACGGTGAAAGTGTGTAACGTCTTATTTATCATGGATTTCTTTAATGCTGGCCATTTAATGTTTTGGCTTTTGAGTATTTATAGATGTAGTATAAATGTAGTGTGTATTATAATATTTAAAATAGAAGTAATCCACGTCTCATTAAACCTTTATGCCGCCATTAGGAATTGATAATTACGACTACGTAGTAGCTTTCAAGTAGTAATAATGAGGAGATACTGCATCAATCATTCTTCTTGTGCTAGTTGAAGTGTATAATGAAGGTTGTTCTTGCTCGGTCACAGGTTGGATGGCATCCTAAATTTACGGATAGCCGCTGCTTCCATATAGTACGAACTGATGGAACTGTTGAAGATTTTTCATACCGCAAATGCATACTTGGTGCTCTTGAAATCGTTGATCCAAAAATGTCGAAGATCCAGAAGAAAAAATGGTCAGGACGTGATGACACAAATTCAATGCGTGTCCAAGCATAGTAAGTGATTTCATTTGATCTGGTGGCAGTCTCCATAAAGACTACCAGAAAAAAAGAAGTCGTGTTTTCTCTGAAGAAATCGTGGTAAATGTAGTGGGAAGTGTTAGTAGTGCCTCAACTCTACAGTCACAAACAGCAACGTTGTTTTTCTACCTTTGATTTGAAAGATATCCAGAATCAGTGGTAGAGAAACACTGCTCACATTTGCGAGTTTAGAGTTATGTTGTTGGCATTACTCCAGCTAAAAGGTGGAAAGAACTAGAAAGCTTGTTTTGTTGTGCTATTTGGGTGGTATGGTAACTCCATGGGTTTTTCTCGACGGATAGAGGCAGGCAGAAGCACGTTTTGAAAGAACTGAGATAATGCATAGAAGGGGAGTATACAAGGTGAAAACAATGGTAGCACATTCTTTTATGTTAACAATTTAAGTTTTCTTTTGTATGGCCTGGGTTCTTACCCATAGCTTCTTTTTGCTTTTTCCACTAATACTTTGTTCGCCAACGATTACGTAAGGCAAATAAAGATCTAGTGGAAGCAGCAACGAGAAGCTTGTAAAAGATTTACACCCGAGAGACCATATGTATTAGTCAATATGTAGCTCATCATATTCCATCTTCTCTCTTCTTTCTTATCTCTGTCGTAATCTACTTGTTCCATCACACTACTTTCTTCAACCACTTTTTCACTCAGTCTCTTGACTCTTTCCCTTTTCTGATTATTCCTCCTGAAACCAGTGGTGTAGCAGATCTACTTCCTACCTTCGGATTTACTTTCCAAAGTTTAAAGCTTTGCTTGCCTCACTTAACATAGCTTCTTCTTTTTTTCTCCTATCGTACCAAAAATAATCCAGGTTACTAAAAGTACAATTCAGTCTTCTGTTTGATGCAAATTCATTTCTTTTTCTTTATTTGTTATTTAATATAACTTGTTTAGAAAGTTGAAAGGTAGATATGTATTGTTAGTGTAAAACTGGACATCTTAAAAGTCCCACGAAAGCTTGTTTTCAACTTTTTAAACCGTGCAAAATCTTTTCCAGAGATTGAAGTTCTTCTAGTGACAGATTAAAGTTCAAATTGAATTATTAAAACACTCTGTTTCTTGAATCCAATGTTGAATAAGCTTGATCCTTGACCGAGGTAACTGTTTGATCCTTTTTAAGGCGAATTAATGTTTATTATAATTGCAATTTATCAAAATTCACCACGTTACAAGCAAAACCTACATCGAATAAATTTGAAAACTCCAATAAGTTTTACCTTAAAATAAAATAACTTGATAAAAAAATTAAACAAGTGGTATCCATAAAGTAAATATTAAACATCTTTGCAAAAAATAATTCCGGAAGCTTTGATGTGGTGCAGGAAAAAAAATTGATAGGGTGCAGGAAGTAAGACCCAAGATGTTTTTGATTGAGAAGGAAGGACTATAAGCAAATCAGTTGCAGGGCTTATTCCATTTGAATCAAGTCACATATTTCTTTCATACTCAATGCTTCACTACTCTATTTAATTCTTGCATCTAATCATATGATCAATGTTTATATTAGAAAAAATTCAATTTTGTATTTAAAATAATAATACGGATATACTTGTTAATTGTTTAGATTCCAATATTAAATAAATACATGTATTTACTCAACATTAATAGTCAATTCTAAGATCCAATCAATTAAATTAATAATTCATTTATTTTTAATTTTGTATTAATTTTATATGTCGACCATTAGTATAATACTACGTCAATAGTTAATGAAATTATTGAATAATAAAATATAACAGATAATTAATCAATTTACTGATAATTTAAAGGTTTTAAAAATCATTACTTAATTACAAAAAAAATGTATCTACTAAACTTATTGACTTTTATATTAATAACTTAAAAATTTACTTTTATATATTAAAGAAAAAAAAGTGAAATTTGAGTATGTTATAAAAGCCAGGATTTACAAGAATATTTGAAAAAGAGAATCTCTCACTTGCAAATATGTTCTTATATAGACTTTTACAACCTTTCTGAATAATAATATATTTCAAAGTTGTTATCATTGAATAATATTATATTACATAAAAAATATTTGAATTCTTGGACTTTATTAAGTAGTTATTAATTTAGCTGATAGTATTAATATTTATACAATATCTAAGTATATACGGTAGATATACTAGTTCCAAAATTTGGAATTTGAGTAAAAAATAGTTTGTGAAGGTGGATAATTTGTTTTGAATTGATATTTTAATGAGGGTGAATTTTTTTTTGTATAACTTTTTTGACTGATTGAAATATAATTTGGTATAGTTTTCAAAATCGATGTGTGTTTTTTTGTTTCAAAATGTTTGGTAGTAACCTTATTTTATCAAGTTCATGTAATAATGACTCTAATGAAGGATTTTTGTGGATTTTGGAATGGGAAGACTATTGAGTTTTCATTATAGTCTTTCTTAAATACTGTTTTTAAATGTATTTGTTTCATTCAAAATGTTATCACCATTTTTGTTATTTTTTTACTTTACTATTATCCATTAACTCCTTTAAATATATTTAAATGTCTTGTTTTTTTTTTCAATTTTGAATGCTAAATGTTAATTATCTTGAATATTATTCTAAATTTTCTTTACAACTAACCAGTTCATGTATTTTTATTTTAAATAAGTATTTGAGATTAGATGTAATGATTCATAGTAAGAATGTTAATAATGTTGTCTATAAGAAGAAAAAAAAGGTTTTATACTTTTCTTATATCTTTTATATCATGATTAAGAGATAAAATTGTGACAAAAACATCACATTCTAAAGAGAAAAACATTTTTAAAATCCATTATATATGTGCTAGGAGTCTCAGTTAAAAATTAAGCTGTTTGAGTACATATAGTCCTTATTTTTCTTTTCTGCAACTTTAATATTTTAATTCAAGTTTTATTATATAGTGTTAGACCCCGTTAAAAACACACCCAAAAATCCCAAGTAGTGGGATACATGTGCCAAAAGGAGAGTGAGCGTCTCAGTTAGTGGAAAACAGGTGGCTGTAGGAGAGTGGCCGTTCGTTTTGGGTGACCGCAGTATTTAAGGCCAAATTTCAAATAACATGACACTTTTCTACATGCCTTTCTTCTTCTCCAAACTGCTAAAACTCTTTTCTCCTCCTTCTCTCTAAAATCTCCTCCTTCTCTCTAAGAAAAACTCACAATTTCTTCTTCCGATCACCTCTCAGGCACCGCTGGAACACTCCTGGCGTCAAGAGTTTCCGTTTAAATCGATCGGTTTATGATTCTGAGCCGGTGAGTCTCTTTCTCTCTAGTACGTTCGTTTAAGTCTTGTATGCAACCCTCTATTTCTGGTCGCCTGAGTAGATAATATAATTATAAGCGTTTCTGGTTTTTCTGTTTGGTCCAGTGTTCCTAAAATGGGAGTGCCGAACGTTAGTTCTTTGGTAGAGGGGAGCTCTATTATGCTTCGTTGAGCGTTCAGTTACGTATAAAGGTAAGAGAAGCTTATATAATTTGATTAAATTCTTGTTTGAACGTTGGCATGGTTGCATGATACGCTGTTTGATTATTTGATGAATATGAGATATGTGTGTACAGCTTGTTTGGGCGTGTGGATGGATGAAGGATGTATGTTGTGAATTGAGTTGAGATAGGCCTTGATATTCAAACTGTGGTAGTCTGAGTAAAGGTGGTAGTATGGTCGAGCGTCATTAGCGAGCGTTCGGTCTTTCTTGGGAGTGCATGGTCTTACTTGAATTATCATGCGTTAGGGATATTATTTAAGAGTCTTTCTGTAATATTATATAAGAATAGGTAAACTGTGACCGAGAATTTGTATTCATCGTTCAGTTTTCGTTGAGCGTCCGTTCATGTTAAGTTCTTCTTTAGACTTCCTAAACAGTTTAGTTAAATGTGTTATATACTACTTAAGGTCGTAGACATTATTGTTCTTTTTCCTTCAGAATAAGTGGTGGCTCAATTGTATAGATTTATATTCATTCGTTTTATGTGAGTTTATTAGTGATCGGTCTTGAATCAAGCGTTCAGTCTCAGTAGCGCTAGTTTCTTATAAGCATTTGGTCTTAGACCAGCGCTCGTCCAATAGTGTTCGGTTTCTACAGGGTTCGGTCTTAAACCAAGCGCTAGGTCTTGTTTCCTTTAATATATTATTGTTGTGCTTAGAATCAAAGTCTTCATTCAAACTAGATAGCGTTCGTTACTCCATAGTTTCTCATCAGTATTAGTATATAGTGTAAATCAGTGTTGGTCTTTAAAAGGTGTTCAGCCTAGAGTCTTAGTACTCGGCCTAGGCTTCGTGGCGTCCGATTGAACTCTTAGGAGTCTATTTATTGAAGTAGATGAGTAGCGCTCAGTCTAGTTAGCTTCTAAGAAGAGTTATTCCAATCGTACTTGGGCTAAGATAAGAGCGTATGATCTTATTTCATTTGAATGTATGGATGATTAAGTATGAGGAAAATTGAGATGTGATGTGTATGAAATAGTGGATTATGAACGAATATTCCAAGGAGGAATATCTCAGAAAGTGGTTATTGATTGGTAAAGTATGAATGTGGGCAAAGGTTAGCGGGCGTTCATCCTGATATTCCATGATTACTCGTTCTCATGTTGAGAGGAGTAAGTCACGTGTGGGAATGACAGGAGGTCCTAGTCCATAAGGTTAACTTGGACGGAACGGATCAACCTCGGGTGGCAGCTGTTGAGGGTATCCCAGTTATTACATCACTCGAGTGCACGAACGTCGTAGCTACACAGGATTCATACAGTCCGGACAGTCATAGTCATGTGGTCGTTATTTGTATGCATGGATGTATGAATTATGATGTGGTCGTTGTTAGTTGTGTTATGAATGGTGTATGTTGTGATTGAATAAATTAAATTACATAAGATTACCCTGTTATCATTTTGTTATCTGTGTGGTATGTCATGTCGTTGACTTGTTGCAATGATCATCCGTGTGGATGTGACCAGAAGGAGAAGAGCTGCTGGAAGAAGTATAGGAAGACGCAGCGGAAGAAGTGAAGACTGAACCTTAGGGACGTTCGGTCTGATATTAGCTTTATATTTTGTAAGACCGCTCGGTATGACAGTTATAGTAGTGATAACTAGCGTTAGTTTTTAATTCCCTGTTGTTATGTAAGGCCGTTCGACCGTAATTGTATATAGTCGAGCGTTGAACTGATCTATAGTATTGTTAACATGTGATTATTCTTTATATGATTTTACATTGTATTTTTGGGATGTTACATATAATATTACTAAAGTTAATAAAAAAAATTGTAATTTGGTTTCACAGCTGATGGACCTTAAAAGGATTTGGTGCAAAAACAAAAAAACGTTTGGGCGAGAAAAATATTATGTCGATTTCTTCTACGTTGAAATTACAATTACCAACTGATAATAATATCTCTTAAACAACGAATATATAACACAAGTGACCTTACCTTGCTCAATCGATATTTCTCTTCAATTATATACATATGTCGATTTGTTTAAATGTGTCTTAAAAGATAAATTCTTATAATAATTTTTTTTTCGTATTTACATAAATTCCTTAAGATAAAAGTAGTAAATTGTTGCTTATGCATAAATGTTAAATTCTTGTGATATTTTTATTTATATTTTCATAAATTCCTTAAGATAAAAGCAATAAATTATTACTTGCATTTGTTTCACTATGGTATGATATGAGGAGATAATTTGTTGGTTGTGATTGCGAACAAGCTTCTAAAACGAACAGTTTTTATTCCAAGATATAAAGTATGTTGAGTATAAGACCCATTATAGAAATTAAATATTCAACTTTCATTGATTTAAAACCCATTATATGTAACGAGTTATTGTAATTACTTGTAAATTACTTTGTGATTGAATAAACTTTAGTCTTGAGTTAAGTATTACTCTCTCACAAATACAATTAATATTTATCTTTCAAAGGTTGTGAAGCTAAGTCAAATTATTATTTAATAAGATTAAGAAACTATGGAAAAATTGAATAAGATGGTGTATGGTTTTATTAGAAAGTATCAATATAGTTATTTAGTAGGTTGACTCTTCGTACCTTAAATTTATAATCACATTTTTTTATCAGTATAACTCATCCTTTTTTATGTTGTAGGTATATGTAATTATAACATGTATTAATACGAAAGCAAGTTTATCTCATGGATCCACGTACATTGATAATTTAATTATATATATATATATATACACACACAAATATCATACATAAAAGGTTTGTTGATAATTTTATTTTATCTAACCGTTTGTGGTATGTAAAATTCATCGGTTTATAATATTATATATTCTCTAACAAAATAATAATAATAATAATAATAATAACTCTAATTTGAATTTATTAAAAATATAAAACGAAGGCAAGTTTTGGATTTGAGATGATTTTAATATTATTACCCAAACAGAGTTCAAGTTTCCTTTAATACTTTACGTCAAAATTCAATGCTAAATTTATCGTGTAAGTGGTTGAGTGAAACTCTAATTTTTTTTTGTTTAAAAATAGAATAAAAAATTAAGTAAACGCTCTTAAGTTTTATTCATGCAATTATTGTTGAATTAAGAACTGATAGCATGTAAAATATATTATAAATTGATAAAATATTATTTAATCGTCTATAACTTTAATCTTCCTCTCTTGAATGCAAATAGTGTTGGGTACAAACTAAGTCCCACATCGGATAAAATATGAAATAGACATGAGTTTATATACACATAACATACCTCTTTTAATATAAAACCTTTTGGAGTGATACCAAAAGCAAATATGTGAGGGCTTAGCCCAAAGTGGACAATATTATAGTACTAAGAATGAAGTCTTTCTCATAATAACTGAAAATTAATAATTTTTTTTATAATATTCATTCATTTTTTTTCGTGAATCAATATTCTCAGTTTTTCTTGATTCAGAGCTCTTAATTTATTTACATTACAAATAAATAATATATATAATATTATTTTTTTTTATGCTTTAATATACTATCTTTTATGAGATGACCCATAAAGCTTTAGTTTAGTCCAAAACGAACAATATCTTACTAGTGTGGATATCTATGGATATTATTTATATTAAACCTATACAATAAACCGTCACTAGTGGAAAAATAACATATTATAGTGACATATATTATGACTGATGAAAATCATCCATTATAATAGGTTGATCAGTGGCAGAATTGTAATAAAAGTTAGATATATTATAACTGATTTCAGAAACTACCCAGAACTATGTTCTTAGTAACTACGTTATAATATATCATTTTTGTATGTTATAAAATGTTATTTTTCTACTAGTGAGTGAAAAAAAAATCCCTCAAAATCCTCACACACGAAAATGAAAAAAAGAAGAAAAAACAGTGTTATAATTGCACATTCGTGTGAGGAAAAAAGAAAAGCATACCGTGTGGCCTCGTGTGAGGCGTGGAAAGTGAGGCGGATAAATAATCATTTACTACAACTTATTATTCAATACCCAAATTTATCAGCTTTTGTTATTGCCAACGTGCAGCGCGAGGCAATCAAACACTGCATCGTACTTGCTTTCGATTTTCTTAATTTTCCTCCAAATTGTTCCACTTGCTAAAAATTCAATTCAAGTGAAAAATACCCTAAAAATTTACAATATTCAACTTTTGCATTTAATAATTTTTAAAATATTTAATAAGTAATATAATATGAGTTAAACCATTTTTAAAGTATTCAACTTATTTTTGTTTAACCCGTATTTAGAGTTTAAATTCTTCAATTTGATGCGATTATTAATGTAAGGCTAAATTAAACCCGTTTAAGCTCGCCATCAACCCTTGAATTTATAAAATATTAGCTCATTTATCTCGTGTTAGAGAAAGTATACTTAAATGTTCCCTTTACCAACCATAACTGTTATAACAAGATTTAGTGTGCTAAGGAAAGCAATATGGTTAGACGTGTAAGGAACTAAAACGAAGCTGGAATAAGTTGAAATTCATACAAAAAAAAAAACATATATGTACATAGTTGTCTCACATGCATACAATTATAATAAATCCTTCGTTACTTACGTTTAAGATTGCAAGTGCATATGAAGAATATATATAAATGTAAATAAGAGTTTAGTAAAATTTTAAATTTTAAATTTATTTCTTAACATAATATCATAACCAATATATTAGAGTTTATTTTAATAAATTTTGTATTTTTAAACATTTTATTTTACTCGTTATCAAAAAAATTGACTTATTTATTGGAAAAATCGAAAATAAAGACAAGTGAATTTTGCTTAATTTTCTGTCCATCAATATTGCGTAATCACTCATCCAATACTCTAATGGAGTGTCAAAGACGACATTTTTTCGACCAAATGCTACCAATATGAGTGCAAAATGCCAAAACAGATTTGATTTTACTTTGGTTTTACCTACTATTTATTAATCCTGTTTGGAAAGGAAAAAAATAGTTTGTTAAGTGATTAACTAAAAAAAAAGCACAAGTAATTTATATACAAGTTAAAAATAAATCTTTTTTAAATTAACTTATTTATGATTTCATTACCTTTTAAATAAAAAATAATTTTATTTCTTTATTTTGAAAACAAAGTCTAAGAAACAAATATTAGCAACCATTGACCGTGAGAGCCAGAAGATCCACCCATGACCGGCGTAGTAATGGCACGTGATTTTTAAACTTTAAGGTTGTTAAGTTTTCATTTTTCTCTCCAATTTGACTTTTTAAATAAATACCATATAATTATTTTTCGAAGATAAAAATGATTTTAAATATTATTAGAGCATTTTTAAATCATCTATTTCTGGCAGTGGAGCTGGATTGATTTAAGGTAAAGTCTTCAAGACCGATGAATCATATTTATAGAAAAAATATAAACATTCAAGCCAAAACTCACTTATATTAATTTTGGTTGTATTACCTTAAATACAAAATAAAGAATTTTGAGAGAGAAATACACATGTATCTAAAAAGGACGAGTCAAACCGAAAAAATAGCTATTTATGTAATTAAATAAACGAATAAAATCAGTCCAAACGAAAATTAGTTTAAAAATAAGAAGTTTTGCAAAAAGAAAACTACTTCGTTAATCTTGAAAAAAAAATCTTTTAACTTTTTTTTAACAAAAATAAAAGTAAAATAAAATATTTATCTCTTTCTTTTATATTTCAAATATAATTTTATTATTATAAGTCAATATTGGTGTATACATAGTTGAAACTTTGGTTTAAGGATTACTATTTGGTTTACAATTCTATATTTGATTTAAAGTATGAAAAGACAAAGTGTTGTCTGTTTTTAATTTTCATTATTAAAATTTTTATTTTAATATCATTTAAGTATTATTTTATTAATATCAATATCAATATCAATTTAACCACGATTCAATCTTCAATATATTCACTAGTTAAATTTTAAAAAGAACGATAATAAATGACCAGCTAAGTTAAATAGTTCATTAACATCTTAAATTCATATATTTGTATCCGACCATAAAGTATATAATTTATGTTCCACAATAATGACGTGTTATTCCAGTCCAGCTCATGAGTGCACTAATAATATAATTATTTTCCCAAATCTAAATCTGATTTGTCATTCCGTTAAACAACTCTTTTATTTATATAAATAAGGAAAGAAAAGGTGCATGGAAGAGTACTGGTTAGTTTTTATTCCTTTTTTTAGGATAATAATAAACATTAAAACAAGCATCATATTTCTGGTAATAAAGAAAAATGATAATAAAATAAAATAAAGATGAATATAGATTTTACATGGCGCAAAACGGTGGTAAATAAAAGGAAAAAAAAAAAGTGTTATGTTCTGTGTTTGTCTGGGGGTTCACTCACGCAGTATGCGTTTATTCACTGGGAGATGCATGAAAGAGGGACCCTTGGGTACACCTCACCGCACCAGATCATTTGGGGTTGGTGGCTGTTTCCCTAACGAATTTCCTTTATATATATATATGCTAAGTTTCCAACACTTCCCATGTGAGTGAGTCACTGAACAACTCACTACTTCCTTTCTCTCTCTTTCTTTGCGATTTTGTGTGTCCGGTTCTATTCGATCAAGAGAGCATTCATTTTTTTGATTGTTGGCATTTGGAAGCGGTGAGCAGAAAATGGCAAAGAACGTCGGAATTCTCGCCATTGACATCTACTTTCCTCCAGCATGCGTTCAGCAGGTCACTCCACCAACTTTCATTTTCTCTCTGTTTCTTTTTGCTTTCTTCGTTTCACTTTGCTTCTTCGTTTAACGTTTTCAAAAACAACCATGGAAGCTGTTCGATATGTCACGGGAATTTCGTTTTCCGTCTTGTGTTGCTGTCACTCGCTTAATTGGAGATTTTGGAAGAATAAAATTGTCTCTAGATGCTCAAGCCAACTGTAAAATTAAATAATAAGCGTGTGGAGTTTGGGAGTGGGATATCTTTTCAACATGTACCTTATTTGAGTCACCTGGGGCTGGATCGCATCGATATCGTTTTCTTAGGAGCGCATAAAATCGATTTCCCAATCATTTTTTGTTGAAAGTGATGATGTAAGGTCTGAGATTTGTTTTCCATTTTCACTTTTTGTTAGATTATAGTTATCGTGTGAAGGGAACTGGCCCGAAATCAATAGTGGGGAAAAAGCTGGACGAAATTGATTAGCCCGTAATTCTTTTTCTTTAAAAAACTATACCGTATTCTCAATGCTTCCGAAGCAATGCATGTCGAAATTTTTTATTTTTTTACTGTGTTTATTATCCCACTTTATGAAATTGAGGTTTCCTAGACTTTTTTTATTTCGAGATTTTTATTTTCTTCACATAACCACGTGTAGGAAGCATTGGAGACTCACGATGGTGCCAGCAAAGGGAAGTACACCATTGGGCTTGGCCAAGATTGCATGTCGTTCTGTACCGAAGTGGAAGATGTCATCTCAATGAGGTTTCCACTCTGATTTTGATAGTCTCTGTTTTTTGTTTGTGAGAGTCTTATGATTTGCATTGTTTTTGGAGCTGTCGTTGCTTGTAGTTAGTTTCCCTGTTTCTGGGCTGTCCTTGCCATTTATTGACTAGGATATAATAATATGTCATATTGTGGAAATGCTTAAGTAAGTTTTACTACTTACAAGCTTTACCTAATGGTTTGGTGGATCCTTTTTGGAGAGCATATAAGTTGGTGATCTGGTTAATACCACCCATGATGAAGTTTTAGCTCTGTTAAAATTTTCCAGGATACGGTGAAATGAACACATTTAATGTTGAATAGGAGTATAGGACTCCAGTGCTGAAGATTTATCTTCTACCTTACAATTAATAATATTCCTAATCCCACTTCTTCAAAACTAATATCGCATCTTCAGTTTGACAGTGGTTACTTCTCTTCTTGAGAAGTATGGAATTGATGCTAAACAAATTGGTCGCCTCGAAGTTGGAAGTGAGACTGTGATAGACAAAAGCAAATCCATCAAAACATTCCTTATGCAGATCTTTGAGGTATACTTTTCGTGTCTAACCTCATGGATCTTGGTTATGTGATTCTCCCTGTCACAGTAGATTGTCATGTTCATCTTCTAATTGTAGTTTAAATGCCTATTTACTTGCTGACAACTGTGCGTTTTTCATCCTAATAGTTACCAGTTACCATCTTCATGATGTTTTACTGTCTTATTGGAAAATTACATTGTTAATTATCTGATTGGATTTTTTCTGTCATATTATAATTTTCTAGATCTTTCATCCATTTCTCCTTTACTTTCCACTATAAATGAAAGTTCTTTATTTGTTTGAAATGAACAGAAATGCGGAAATACTGACATTGAGGGTGTTGATTCAACTAATGCATGCTATGGGGGAACCGCCGCCCTGTTTAACTGTGTCAACTGGGTGGAGAGCAACTCATGGGATGGACGCTATGGACTTGTTGTCTGCACTGACAGTGCTGTAAGATAATTTTCTAATCATTCACATTGCATTTGCACTAATGCAGAATACAAACTTGGTTTGACTCTCTTATTTTCCAACAGAACAATACAAGTTCCTTATTCAAAGTCCTGAGTTCCTCATTCAAAGTCTTAAGATTATATGATAGATTAATTTCAAGCTTGTTTCTAATGTTTCCCTTCTCAGGTCTATGCTGAAGGACCTGCTCGACCTACTGGAGGAGCTGCTGCTATTGCCATGCTAATTGGTCCTGATGCTCCCATTTCTTTTGAAAGCAAATATAGAGGAAGTCATATGTCTCATGTTTATGACTTTTACAAGCCGAATCTTGCTAGTGAATATCCAGTGAGTTTTTTACTCCCTTTGACTTTTGGGATCATATGCTTTGAAGAACAACTTGCAATTATTTTCCAGACGGCTAAAATTATCCTTGCAAGTTGCTCTTTATTTTTGTTTTGATATGCCATGAAGGATAGCATTTTGATTGTTCGTGTCCATTTTACTTTCACCCATAACCCACTCATGTTTCAGGATGCCAACTGCTATATACTCACATTTTTTTTTTGCTGTAGGTTGTTGATGGAAAGCTGTCTCAAACTTGTTACCTCATGGCTCTTGATTCTTGCTACAAGAGTTTCTGTCACAAGTAAGTATTTATTGTTAATTTTAGTTCTTATGAATTTGTTTTATCAATATAAATATAAAATTGGATCCTTTCAAATTGATTGGAAGTGTCAGCTCAAAAGAACCCAATAAAAATCTGAGTTTACTCCACATTCTGCTGGCTTGATGCAAATTGGGTCTGACCTGCCATGTCCTGTTGACAATTTTTTGTGAACTAAATTACATTTTCAAAATCTTAAATGATGTAATAACGAGATTTATGCATAACACCGAGGAAAAAAGATTCTTAAAAAACATTCTATGCTAACAGCGTATCCTTATTATTGATTAAAATTTATTTTCCTAAAATCACAAGTGAGACTCATTAAATAGGAATATGTGTATTAACACTCATTGTGTTCAAAACATCAATAGTATAGTAACTGATCACTGAAGTACCTACCTTTATCTACTTTGCAGGTATGAGAAATTCGAGGGAAAACAATTTTCTCTTTCTGATGCGGCATACTTTGTTTTTCACTCACCTTACAACAAGGTAGGTTTTCTTCTGAAGCATCTATTGTTTAATCTCCCAACTCCACACGATGCATAATAATGCTCCCTATAACATGTTCTATGTAGTTCGGTATCTCCGATGTATCTTCTTAATTAATATGTAATTTGTTTTTCTTCTGTATATTTATTTGTATACTTCCCCTAATTCCACTTGCTTTTGCAGCTAGTACAGAAGAGTTTTGCACGGCTGTATTTCAATGACTTTTTGAGGAATGCCAGGTGCTCTTTATTTCTCCATCATCTAGAATATTTTTTATCAGTTAATGTTGGTGTGGATGTTCTAAAATTGGTTATGATTGCAGCTCTGTGGATGAGAATGCCAAAGAAAAGCTGGGACCTTTTTCAAATTTATCTGGTGATGAGAGTTACCAAAGTCGGGATCTTGAAAAGGTCTAAGAACCTACCCCCTCGAAANTGTTATGTTCTGTGTTTGTCTGGGGGTTCACTCACGCAGTATGCGTTTATTCACTGGGAGATGCATGAAAGAGGGACCCTTGGGTACACCTCACCGCACCAGATCATTTGGGGTTGGTGGCTGTTTCCCTAACGAATTTCCTTTATATATATATATGCTAAGTTTCCAACACTTCCCATGTGAGTGAGTCACTGAACAACTCACTACTTCCTTTCTCTCTCTTTCTTTGCGATTTTGTGTGTCCGGTTCTATTCGATCAAGAGAGCATTCATTTTTTTGATTGTTGGCATTTGGAAGCGGTGAGCAGAAAATGGCAAAGAACGTCGGAATTCTCGCCATTGACATCTACTTTCCTCCAGCATGCGTTCAGCAGGTCACTCCACCAACTTTCATTTTCTCTCTGTTTCTTTTTGCTTTCTTCGTTTCACTTTGCTTCTTCGTTTAACGTTTTCAAAAACAACCATGGAAGCTGTTCGATATGTCACGGGAATTTCGTTTTCCGTCTTGTGTTGCTGTCACTCGCTTAATTGGAGATTTTGGAAGAATAAAATTGTCTCTAGATGCTCAAGCCAACTGTAAAATTAAATAATAAGCGTGTGGAGTTTGGGAGTGGGATATCTTTTCACCATGTACCTTATTTGAGTCACCTGGGGCTGGATCGCATCGATATCGTTTTCTTAGGAGCGCATAAAATCGATTTCCCAATCATTTTTTGTTGAAAGTGATGATGTAAGGTCTGAGATTTGTTTTCCATTTTCACTTTTTGTTAGATTATAGTTATCGTGTGAAGGGAACTGGCCCGAAATCAATAGTGGGGAAAAAGCTGGACGAAATTGATTAGCCCGTAATTCTTTTTCTTTAAAAAACTATACCGTATTCTCAATGCTTCCGAAGCAATGCATGTCGAAATTTTTTATTTTTTTACTGTGTTTATTATCCCACTTTATGAAATTGAGGTTTCCTAGACTTTTTTTATTTCGAGATTTTTATTTTCTTCACATAACCACGTGTAGGAAGCATTGGAGACTCACGATGGTGCCAGCAAAGGGAAGTACACCATTGGGCTTGGCCAAGATTGCATGTCGTTCTGTACCGAAGTGGAAGATGTCATCTCAATGAGGTTTCCACTCTGATTTTGATAGTCTCTGTTTTTTGTTTGTGAGAGTCTTATGATTTGCATTGTTTTTGGAGCTGTCGTTGCTTGTAGTTAGTTTCCCTGTTTCTGGGCTGTCCTTGCCATTTATTGACTAGGATATAATAATATGTCATATTGTGGAAATGCTTAAGTAAGTTTTACTACTTACAAGCTTTACCTAATGGTTTGGTGGATCCTTTTTGGAGAGCATATAAGTTGGTGATCTGGTTAATACCACCCATGATGAAGTTTTAGCTCTGTTAAAATTTTCCAGGATACGGTGAAATGAACACATTTAATGTTGAATAGGAGTATAGGACTCCAGTGCTGAAGATTTATCTTCTACCTTACAATTAATAATATTCCTAATCCCACTTCTTCAAAACTAATATCGCATCTTCAGTTTGACAGTGGTTACTTCTCTTCTTGAGAAGTATGGAATTGATGCTAAACAAATTGGTCGCCTCGAAGTTGGAAGTGAGACTGTGATAGACAAAAGCAAATCCATCAAAACATTCCTTATGCAGATCTTTGAGGTATACTTTTCGTGTCTAACCTCATGGATCTTGGTTATGTGATTCTCCCTGTCACAGTAGATTGTCATGTTCATCTTCTAATTGTAGTTTAAATGCCTATTTACTTGCTGACAACTGTGCGTTTTTCATCCTAATAGTTACCAGTTACCATCTTCATGATGTTTTACTGTCTTATTGGAAAATTACATTGTTAATTATCTGATTGGATTTTTTCTGTCATATTATAATTTTCTAGATCTTTCATCCATTTCTCCTTTACTTTCCACTATAAATGAAAGTTCTTTATTTGTTTGAAATGAACAGAAATGCGGAAATACTGACATTGAGGGTGTTGATTCAACTAATGCATGCTATGGGGGAACCGCCGCCCTGTTTAACTGTGTCAACTGGGTGGAGAGCAACTCATGGGATGGACGCTATGGACTTGTTGTCTGCACTGACAGTGCTGTAAGATAATTTTCTAATCATTCACATTGCATTTGCACTAATGCAGAATACAAACTTGGTTTGACTCTCTTATTTTCCAACAGAACAATACAAGTTCCTTATTCAAAGTCCTGAGTTCCTCATTCAAAGTCTTAAGATTATATGATAGATTAATTTCAAGCTTGTTTCTAATGTTTCCCTTCTCAGGTCTATGCTGAAGGACCTGCTCGACCTACTGGAGGAGCTGCTGCTATTGCCATGCTAATTGGTCCTGATGCTCCCATTTCTTTTGAAAGCAAATATAGAGGAAGTCATATGTCTCATGTTTATGACTTTTACAAGCCGAATCTTGCTAGTGAATATCCAGTGAGTTTTTTACTCCCTTTGACTTTTGGGATCATATGCTTTGAAGAACAACTTGCAATTATTTTCCAGACGGCTAAAATTATCCTTGCAAGTTGCTCTTTATTTTTGTTTTGATATGCCATGAAGGATAGCATTTTGATTGTTCGTGTCCATTTTACTTTCACCCATAACCCACTAATGTTTCAGGATGCCAACTGCTATATACTCACATTTTTTTTTTGCTGTAGGTTGTTGATGGAAAGCTGTCTCAAACTTGTTACCTCATGGCTCTTGATTCTTGCTACAAGAGTTTCTGTCACAAGTAAGTATTTATTGTTAATTTTAGTTCTTATGAATTTGTTTTATCAATATAAATATAAAATTGGATCCTTTCAAATTGATTGGAAGTGTCAGCTCAAAAGAACCCAATAAAAATCTGAGTTTACTCCACATTCTGCTGGCTTGATGCAAATTGGGTCTGACCTGCCATGTCCTGTTGACAATTTTTTGTGAACTAAATTACATTTTCAAAATCTTAAATGATGTAATAACGAGATTTATGCATAACACCGAGGAAAAAAGATTCTTAAAAAACAATCTATGCTAACAGCGTATCCTTATTATTGATTAAAATTTATTTTCCTAAAATCACAAGTGAGACTCATTAAATAGGAATATGTGTATTAACACTCATTGTGTTCAAAACATCAATAGTATAGTAACTGATCACTGAAGTACCTACCTTTATCTACTTTGCAGGTATGAGAAATTCGAGGGAAAACAATTTTCTCTTTCTGATGCAGCATACTTTGTTTTTCACTCACCTTACAACAAGGTAGGTTTTCTTCTGAAGCATCTATTGTTTAATCTCCCAACTCCACACGATGCATAATAATGCTCCCTATAACATGTTCTATGTAGTTCGGTATCTCCGATGTATCTTCTTAATTAATATGTAATTTGTTTTTCTTCTGTATATTTATTTGTATACTTCCCCTAATTCCACTTGCTTTTGCAGCTAGTACAGAAGAGTTTTGCACGGCTGTATTTCAATGACTTTTTGAGGAATGCCAGGTGCTCTTTATTTCTCCATCATCTAGAATATTTTTTATCAGTTAATGTTGGTGTGGATGTTCTAAAATTGGTTATGATTGCAGCTCTGTGGATGAGAATGCCAAAGAAAAGCTGGGACCTTTTTCAAATTTATCTGGTGATGAGAGTTACCAAAGTCGGGATCTTGAAAAGGTCTAAGAACCTACCCCCTCGAAATCCATAATCTGTTGTTTCTCTTAGATATTTGATTAGTTTTCCTTTTCGACCTTGAGTTGTCAAACTAGCTGTAGGTTCACATAGAATTCTATTGAAAACGAACAGCATTTAAACTTTTTTTCTGATGTGCAATATTATTGATTTGCAGGCATCTCAGCAAGCTGCGAAGCCTCTGTATGACGAGAAGGTACAGCCAACAACCTTGATTCCAAAGCAAGTCGGCAACATGTACACTGCGTCACTCTATGCAGCATTTGCATCCCTTATTCACAACAAACATAGCACATTGGTGAATGTCCTGACCACTACAGCAAATAAAGTTCGTCGCAAAATTGTTTTGAGCTTTCTAATGAATATTTTCATTTTTCAATTTTCAGGCTGGTAAGAGGGTGATATTATTCTCATACGGAAGTGGCTTAACTTCCACAATATTTTCTTTGCAATTGCGAGATATTCAACATCCATTTAGCTTGTCAAACATCGCTAAAGTGATGGATGTCGATGGAAAATTGAAGTCAAGACACGAGGTAATGATCTACAAAAGTCTAATAAAATATGGACGTATTACTCATTTGCTCTTCTGGTTTAATATTGAATGGAAGATGCGCATGCCAAAAACATAAGAATGTGTTTGTTGTAACAAACATATGATTGACAACTGACAAACTTTTCAGCGGACACAGATACTGTTTGGCCTCCTATCAAGAGGTCTTGTTAGAATGAATAGAAATAGTGCAGCAGATCATTAGACCAGCGATGAGCTGTTACTTTTGATTACTATCCAAATAGAATGACGGCTGGACATTTAAGAGAATAATCGGTAAACAGGAGGGGAACAAATAGCGGCGAAGACGAGAGTAGAAGCAGTTTTGGAATTGTTTGGGGAATTATTTTTAAAGGCTCTTTGGGAAAAATTATGCCCTTGAATTTAACTGAATCAAGCCTCCATATATAGGTTCTAAGAAATTTTATTTTTCCTATTTCCTTACTGAGATTTTAGAAACTTCAAAAATAGATATTTCGTTCTCTAAAGTATCTTAGAACTTGAAGATTAATACCATAGAAGTGAACCTATGGTAAATGATTGAGAAGCCGATCAGTCCCTTTGTTAAGATTATTGTTGTAGTGTTTGTTAAGATGGTGAAAGCAAAATCGTGTGTTTAATAGTCTTTTGATGAGTGTTTTTCTGACGCAGTTTCCACCGGAGAAGTTTGTTGAAACCCTGAAGGTAATGGAGCATAGGTATGGTGCTAAGGAATTTGTGACAAGC